CAAAATATACCTAGTGCGCTCTTCGCACGAGGAGCATATGCGTTCGTTGGTAGAAAGTGAAAAAGAAAAAAAAAAAAAGAAAAGAGAAAAAGAGAGAAAAAAAAAGAAAAAAGAGGTGTACGACCGTGTATTAATAAACGTGCACACGCGTTTATAGTCGTACTCTGCCCGATGAAATAATACTCGTTGCCCATCGAAAAATATCTTCATTATTTTCTTTTTCTAAGATACTTTTAAACGAACGCTTAAAAAAAAAAAAAAAAAAAAAAAAATATTTGAAATTCAACTCTTAATATAAAAGATATTAGATACAAAAAATGATTGGTATATATTAATTTCTATAAAAAAATTTCTAATTAAAGTTTATCATTGTTGCCTTATATTTTTATTGCACTAGATTTACGATATTCGTTCCTTTGTTGTCATATCACGAATATTATCGTGACACGAGATAAAACGCAATTTGAGAGTATGACAGAGAGTAGTAACAGATATAATAGAGACATACATATGCATACACATACGCGAGCGCGAACGCACGCACGCACACACACAAATAACACAAAAGCACGGCTATTCCCCTTACAGAACATACATATGTATCCCTAACGTCCAGTAGCAATTAAATCAAAACGATCGACTCTTGGTAATTGGCCCATGTCACGTCTCGTTACTGTTCACCTTTGTTTCGGCCATACTCAACTTCATGCATTTAAATACTATTCTATTTATCCGTTACATGCGTGTTTCGAGTGTTTCTATATCAAACGTACTATGTACTCTATGTGATCGAAGATATATTGTTAATGAATCCGACTTGATCGCACCGAAACTAAATTAATCATTCGAGTCATTTCCTAAGTCATTTCCCATTATCATCGCAGTTATACATGTTTTCTAAGTTTTATCAAAAAATCAATAAATCAAAAAGACAATTTACGTTATAATAATGATTTAAATAATGTTTCTTACATGAAATATTCTGCATATTATATAACACTTCTGTTTATTCGATCAGTATTTTTATTACTTAAATGATAAGTGTTATGTACAATAAATGAGCAATATATATAAACATTTTGATCAGTATTTATAATAAAATATCAATAGGTAAAATATAAATAGACAGTGTAAATAATTAAATGTCAGGATTGTATCTGAGCTACGTCTGTGTTGCGTCTGGTTTTATTATAAATACTGACTATTTATATTACGTACTGATATTTTATTATAAGTACTGACCATTTTTTTAGAATACTGATAAAAATCGTTTTGAAAAAATACTGACTGAAAAATAAATAACAGTTATTACATAATATAGATATATAATATTTATATACATATTGTATATTATATGTATTATATGATATTGCTATTACGTATGTGTGTGTGTATGTGTGTGTGTGTGTGTGCATGTAAATAAATATGTATTACAATTAGAAATTAAAAAGAATGTTATTAATTTCTCATTAAGATAATGACCGGAATATATAGGAAATTACAAGGAACGAGGACTGATAAAGAATATTGAGTACTTTAGCGGCACTCGTTCGTCGCCTCGTTCATCGAATTGAATCGTAACAATGGCTATCACTTCGAATGAATGTATAATCGCGTCCTCCGTTCTCATAGAGCTCGTGCTTTAAGGAGCGTTACACTCTTGATTTGTTTATCGCTAAATGAAAGCATTCGTTCTTGTCTCAGGAAGCGTGTAGGAGTGTGCGATCGTACATGAGCTACCATCTGTCGAGCATACGAGAAAATCGTTTGGTGATATGCCACAAAATCGTTTATTAGTCACTTCCTGTTAAAACGCTAGTCACGAGAAGCAGAGGGAGTGAGAGAGAGAGAGAGAGAGAGAGAGAGAGAGAGAGAGAGAGAGAGAAAGAGAGAGAGGGACAGTTGTGGAGCTAAACGATAAAAGCGATGGGTACTGAGCACGAACTGGTAATGCAACTTGCTTTTATTCTCTTTTTTAACTAACGCGTTAAGTATCACGAATCGGCAGATTAGACTTTTAGAATACCTACGTTAGAGGAAAAACGAGTTTGTGAGTCACGTTGAGTCAGTTTATATGCCGGAAGAGGAACGAGGAGTATTCTATAATTCACATCGCTTTTCCATCATTTTCTTACAATCTTTTATTTTTATCTCGCGATAAAATGCAGGTAATATGAATAGAAAATAAATGTCATAAAATTTTTATGATATTACTTGACCCGTCTCTTTATCTTCTCCTTTAAGAAAAGATCTTTCTATTTGCACTTTTTGTTTTTTATTTTTCTTTTTTTTTCTTCTTTTTCTTTTTCTTTTTATCGCAAATAAATAAGTTTTGAAAGTTTGTACTTTTTATTATGTTTCTCGTTATGAGATGAAAAGAAATAGAAAGAAAAAATGAGAGCGAGAGACAGGCAGAAAGAGAGAGAGAGAGAGAGAGAGAGAGAGAGAGAGAGAGAGAGAAGACGAGGAAGGTCGAACATAAAGTATTTTTCTTTAAATCTATCGACGAAATAAAGTTCCATTCGATGTTCTCGGTTAAAAGGTCGATTCTCTTTGCGACGAGGAGACTGACGGCTTTAATTGAAAGCTAGTTAGCATCACAAAAGATTCGTACAGCCCTTCTCCTACATTGTCGATTAATTTACTATGCCTTTATCGAATCTCTTTCGTCTTGCATCTCTCTGTCTCTCTCTCTCTCTCTCTCTCGCCTTCTCTCTCTCTCTTTACGTCTCTCTGTATCTCTTTGATATCAATGTTCGATTAAACATAATTTTTTAAAAATGTAACATTACAATCAAAAACAAAAAAGAAATAGGTATATGCCAAAAAAATATAGATAAATGCGATGTAGCAACAAAGAAAACAAAAAAACATACAAAAAATTCTCCGTTCTTTAAATATTAAGACATGAAAATGTTTATATCAATAAGATGTTAATTACGCAAGCGGCTTTCGCATAAGAGAGCGCAGCACGGAAAACCAGTTATTACCGCTAATTAAAAACGTTTAATTAGGGTGGCGTCACCGTCGTGGAGGTCACGTTATTCTCATGCCGAGCATCCGTAAAACGATTCAAGTTTGCACGATTCCTTCTCAAGTATATGTAGTCGTCTTCTTCCTCCTTCTTCTCTACCTCTTCCCTAACGTTCACATACGTACGCAATTGCATCTTGTTTGTCCACTTTACTTGTTCACCCACGTGTTCCTTTCCCCCTCTTTCTCTCTTTTTCTTTCTTCATGATTTTCCGTAGTTTTTTCTTGATATATAAATACTTAACATCTGTATTTATCTTCATCGAATTTTCCATTCTTCTTTCCCTCACAATCTTCCTTCTTTTTTTCTTTACGTTATTTAAGATCTACATATATTTATCAGGAAAATTAGTATATTAATTCGACAAAAATTTTTTTCCGTATATTTTCGAACATTTTATCCTTAAACATATCCGATAGCCAGTTATTTTTTTCTTCGTCAAACATTATTAAGAAAATTAAATTATATTTATAAAATTGTATTTACTTAAATTATATTTAAAAAATTTGCCAATTTTTTTATGTTGTATTACATTAATCCATAGGCGATATAAACGGGATTTAATTTATATTTTAATTGTAATTAAATTAAATAAATGTGTTCGTATGACGAATAGTAATTGTTCAATGTTTCCCATATTTTTTTTAAGAATATCTTATTCCATGAAATAAATATAGAGGTTCTGCATTGAGCATAGGCGCCCCATAGCATTTCAGCCGTAAGTTATTTCCTCTCGAATCCTCTCCAAAAAAGAGATAGTAGGTAGGTACATCTCGACTCTCACCGTGGTACTATAATATTTAAGTACATAAAATTTTCATCTAACCAATCTCCTACTCGACTCCAACATGTTGCACTTTAATTCCATCGTATATGTACACATCTCTGCTTTCGATTAAAAAGCTCGTCGAGGTACCGTTTTGTAAAAAAAAAAAAAAAAAAAAAAAAAAAAAAAGAAAGAAAGAAAAAAGAAGAGAGAAATGAGGAAAAGGGAAATCGTAAGTTAAAAACTAACAAAAAGGAGATATAATAGATAATCTATAAAGACCAGAGTAGAAAAGATTTGTAATATCGGATAAAGACTTGAAAAAGAGTGACCTTCGTCATTGGAATCCGTTCGAGCAGAAAACTATCAGGTGGAAATTAATAGCGATGCAGAGGGATTCTAGATAAAAGAAAAAGAGAGAGAAAGAGAGAGAGAGAGAGAGGGAGAGAGAAAAAAGGGAGAAAAAAAATGTAATTATCGACCTACTCGAAAGCCCAGCCGCCAGAGTAATGGCGCGTTTATGGGTAGGAAAGGATGAGGATGAGGATGAGGATGAGGATGAGGATGAGGATGAGGAAAGAGGAGTATGGAGTAGTTTCTCGACCAGGCAGATGGTTCTTTTGTGTGTAGGGGTGCCTCTCGAGATACAAGGGTTCGACATTAGCAAGAGTCACGTGGTATCGAGGGGTCCAACGTGAAAGGCAAAGAGAGGATAAACGTCTTCGAATTTTGGCAAACTCGTGCCTCGCCTAAATTATCAAATCCTCTCAAGGACACGCATATATTCTTGAATGACGAATTCTTCAAGTCGAGAAGAGATTCATTGAAATTTACTCCGGAATCGTTTAATTTTCTCCAGAAAGCATTCCTTTCTAAGAAACATAATCATTATATAAATCATTATGTAAATCATTTTGTTCTTATATTAAAAAAAAAAAAAAAAAAATCCTAATCGACTTATTATCATACATACGTATGGTCCAAGCTTACCTAAATAGTAACGTTGTTTTTCTCAAAACCACTTATTTGTTATTACATAAAAGCCACATAAGATGTCATCGATAGAGAAAAATACGGATATCTATTGTGAAAAATTCTATAGAATTAAAAATTAACGAGTTGCTACGTTAGTTGACGATACGTTGAAATTCCTCCCCGTTTGGAGAATCGAATGCTTTATAAAAGACTCGAGGAGACGTAGTTCATTATTTTCTAAAGAGTTCGATTCCGTGTATCCCTCTTTGAATCTCGTTATATCGTAAATTAGCAGAAAAATGTCGAATAAAGAAAGATATACATATATACGGTCTATTATTTTCCCTTTCCTTTTCGGATGTCTTTTCGGACTTTTTGGATCGGTCGACGGTGTAAGTGTTCATCTATTGTACTACGTTCAGTTTAAAATCGATACGCGATTTTATTAATAATTTTTAATAATATTGTATCATATTACTGTAGGCCATGACCATCGAGCAAATGCAAAAAACCGCAACAGGAATTCGTAATACTTGTATAACGAAGACTGGTGTAAAAGCAGGTGAAACATTAGAATGGTCTATTTGCAAAAAGTCATAAATTAATCATTAGTTTGTACCACTTCGAGTAGGTATATATCTTTAAGTCCATATTGTGAAAGCTATTGACGATTCGTATCTGTTAAATGTAGAGCTTGTGGACGGAATGAAGACTGGCCAATATCCGGAAGATCACGATCTACAGTGCTATACGCAATGCGTTATGAAAACAATTCGTACGGTAAAGTGTTTATAATAATTCTTTGAACATGATGGTGAAATGATGTTAAAAAATATAACATATATATATATAACATATATATATAATATAATATATAGATAGTCAAACATCCTCGACGATCTCTTCGTTTGAATTAATAAAGACAATTTTTTATACTGTTTCAAGTTTAAAAATCAAAAAGTGGACGTGGATATGGTGATCAAGCAAGTCGAAATGATGATGCCGATTGAATGGCAAGATCAAATGAAAGCTGCGGCAAGAAAGTGTGGAGCGTTGGGTAAGTGTAAAATAACAAACATACATACAAGAAAAAATATAAAAACATGCTTATTGAGATTAATCTCAAAAATCTTTATCGAAATAGATTAATTAAAATTTTCGAAAAATTTTCAATTTTGTTATTACGTTTCGCGCAGAACCCTCTGACGACATATGCGTTACGGCCTTCAACTACGTCAAGTGTAATTACAATGAAAATTCTGACAATTTCTTCTTCCCTTAATCGATTTTCGAAAACCGAAGAAACATCGTCGAATGCATCGTTGAACGGAGGAAGAAACTCGTTTGATCGATCGTGCGAAGATTTAACCAAATTATTAACTTAATTTTGATTAACTTAAGCAAATAAAATAAAAAAAAAAAAATGAAAGAGAAGATCGATTATGGTGCGATCTTCTCTTCGAGAGAAGTACAAGTTTTTGTAACAAATAATAAAATACATTATAAAATTTCATACAAATACATATTTTCGTCCAACGTTCATTAAATTCTTACAGTGCAAAATGACTTAACTTAAATAATTAAATGATTGAAAATTTTATTTTAGGCTATCATAAATCGATTGTTATTGTAAATTAATTACTTTGTTTTATTCTGTTAAATTAGATCTCATGAATTCGAAATAAAAGATCTTATATATTTCCATTTGGTATAATTTCGCAAATGCTCCGTAATAATGTCAAATTATATACGAAGTTATGATTATATAACAATCGGAAGATAAAAACGCTTAATGTCGAAGTTTCGAAAATTAACATAGAAAAGTCTGACAGGTATATGTACACACAAACATATCCATGTCGGACTGACACCGAACGTGATTAAATTGTAGGTTAATGAAACAATATAAGTTATTAAATTTGTACCTGCCATATTCGAGAGAAACGAAAATTGTCCGTTCTCCCTCTGATTCGATGTGAGCGTTATAAAAGTGGTTGGACGTTTCGAAAGACAAGTCGTTGCTGGTACGTTGTTCCATTTTTCGTATCGTCGAAATAATCAAGAAACAAGAAATAAGTATTAAGAATCTGTATAACGAAAAGAAAATATTGGAACAAGCTATTCGTTGGAAAAAATGAGGGCTACGATTCTTTTAATCTCGTTGTTCGTCGTCCTGGCGAATTTATATAATGTGGAAAGTGTGAGTTTTTTATTTAAACAATAATTTAATTTTCATTTTACTCCCTTTTACATATTACTTTTCGTATTGAATTTAGTCAAAAAATCGTAACATTTGTATTTTTTAAGTCACATTTCTAATTACTTTGAATTTCTTTTCTCTTTCTTTTCTTTTTTTTATTTCTTATTTTTATTTTTTATTTTTATTTTTTATTCTATTTCTTTTTTTTTTATTTTAATTAGAAAAAAATGGATATGGATCAAATAAGAAACGTAGTAAAATCTGCGAGAAAAACTTGCGCAAGTCAAATCGGTGCTTCGAAAGGTACGTATTCTTATCTTTTATTTTAAATAATAATCATTCTAAATGCTAAAAACTATGCGAGAAGTATTCGAATACGTGGATAATTAGATGATGCATTTAACTCCGATCACTTGTTATAATGTTACTAAATAATGCGAATAAATTTATTTATTGTCGTAACTAATTATTAACATACATAAAAGATTCAAAGTTCTATCGACGGTATGAGCTCTTACATTTTCATTTTTGAAAAAAACCGAGCAATTATTGATAATTATCAGTTTATTAATAGAAGTAGATATATCAATCTAAGAAAGATCTTTGCAGAATTATTGGATAATGCAGCACAAAAAGGTGAATTTCCACCCGATCCAAAGCTTCAATGTTACCTTAAGTGCATAATGGTATTATCCAAAGCTGTAAGTAATATTTTTTTTTCATTTAAATTGAATATTTTCGAACAATTAATTTATTTCGTAATTACTTTCATTGTTGGACAATGTAAAAAATAATTATTAGGAATGTAACAGTTATTATGGCATAATTAGAAATATACACTTTCCTTGCTTATTATATGAAAGAAAAAAAAATTTAGTTTTTCAAGATTACTTATACAAGTAGGTTAATTATTCTTACGTAATTCGTCTAAAGATATGATGTCGATTGCATAATTAAAATGTATAATAATGCATATTTAAACTTGAAATCGAGTATTCCTGCTATCAATAACAAAAGATCAATCTGAAAAATATGTAATGGAATTGAAGAATTATAAAATTTTAGATGAAAAACGATCAATTACGGCCAGAAGTAATGAAAACACAAGCCGAATTGATGTTAATCGACGAAATAAGCGAACGGATCAAAGAAACGATCGACAAATGTTACCCGAGTAGTAAGAAAGATTTTTATTCTTTCTAATGACTGATAATTATACAATTCTTTTTACGATTCATTTATCAAATCTTTTTATCAATTTTACAGTAACCAGCAGCGATGCTTGCGAAGCCTCATGGCAATTCGCCAAGTGTTATTATGAAACGGATAGTTCGGTAAATTTTTTTACGTTATTTCACGTTAATAACTTTCATTTTTTATACATCTCCTCACATACTCGAATTGTATCGTCATTGTAATATTATAATCGAAATTATTATTACTGAAAGTTATTCCGAATATCGCACGATCGATTTGTTTTGCTTTGAACAAACAAGAGCAAAAGTTAATTCAATTGATATGCAGTAAACGAGTGACCTCAAATGAAACGTGATTTATTAAATCCATATTATCTCATTTTTCTATCTATAAATTATAAGGTTAAACAATTAACTCGAAGTAATGAATAATTTATCGTTTTTCTTTTCTAATTATAGATTTATTTTATCCCATGAAGAAAATATCCTCAACGTATTCACGAACAAATTCAAGACTTATCTCGCAGAGATGGCAAAGAACACGGTTTAAGAGAACTTCAGATGCGATTTGTAAAAATTCAAGAACTAAACGAAATTGTAGAAGAGTTTAGATTTTAGTTTTTATTATTATTGTCACCAGTCATATTCTATAAAAAAAACTGGAATACTATGTACCTTTAAATTTGTTTTATCTCGTCCTGAAGACGCAAAAACGATAAATCACCATTCATATAATAATTCTTCAAATAAATTATGCGGTATGTTCTTGTTCGTGATATTCTTATAAAAAATTAAATCTTTGTAAAATTGTTAAACATATGAAATATAAATATATGAAATAATCGATGAAAATTATTTAAATTATGCGTCTAGTTATTTATAAATCTTTATCATCATGCAAGGAAAGTATGACTTCTTACTTATAACTTATGCATTTATATCTTTCTGTAATAAAAATACATAGCTTGAAAAAATGTATTATTCCTAAGTGTCATGATAATAATGTATTAAATCAATTGGAAAAGAAGGTGCTAATGTGACATATCTATGAACAATAAAACTCATTCCCGTATCATTAAATTTTATAATTAAATTTTATCGTAACGAAGTTGTTGGAACTATATTTGTTTAGAGCAAGAAAAATATAAATGTGATATATATATATATATTTATATATATATATATATATATATATATATCACATTTATATATATATATATATATATATATATATATATTTATATATATATATATATATATTTATATATATATATATATATATATATATATCACATTTATATATATATATATATATATATATATATATTTATATATATATATATATATTTATATATATATATATATATTTATATATATATATATCACATTTATATATATATATATATATATATATATTTATATATATATATATATATATCACATTTATATATATATATATATATATATATCACATTTATATATATATATATATATATATATATATATATATATTTATATATATATATATATATATTTATATATATATATATATATTTATATATATATATATCACATTTATATATATATATATATATATATATATATATATATATATATATTTATATATATATATATATATATCACATTTATATATATATATATATATTTATATATATATATATATATTTATATATATATATATATATTTATATATATATATATCACATTTATATATATATATATATATATTTATATATATATATATATCACATTTATATATATATATATATATATATATATATATATATATTTATATATATATATATATCACATTTATATATATATATATATATATTTTATATATATATATATATCACATTTATATATATATATATATATATATATATATATTTATATATATATATATATCACATTTATATATATATATATATATATATATATTTATATATATATATATATCACATTTATATATATATATATATATATATATATATTTATATATATATATATCACATTTATATATATATATATATATTTATATATATATATATATATCACATTTATATATATATATATATATATTTATATATATATATATATCACATTTATATATATATATATATATATATATATTTATATATATATATCACATTTATATATATATATATATATATATATATATCACATTTATATATATATATATATTTATATATATATATCACATTTATATATATATATATATATATATATATATATATATATTTATATATATATATCACATTTATATATATATATATATATATATATATATATATATTTATATATATATATCACATTTATATATATATATATATATATATATATATTTATATATATATATATCACATTTATATATATATATATATATTTATATATGTATATCACATTTATATATATATATATTTATATATATATATATCACATTTATATATATATATATATTTATATATATATATATATTTATATATATATATATCACATTTATATATATATATATATTTATATATATATATATCACATTTATATATATATATATATCACATTTATATATATATATATATATGTGAATCACGTAATTAATAACATTGTTTGTATTATTTATTCCTTTCTTTACATAGTCGTTCAAGAAAAATAAAGAACTAAGAGCCAAACTAGTATTTACTATTCTTTGTCTAGATATTTGTTCTCTACTAATTTGATTTTGTGTTGTATTATTTGCATTTTATTTTTTATGATAATTTAAAAAATCAGATATGTTCTAAATAAAGCATCCTTTTTATATTTATAAGTCAATGGTAATATTTTAACACATTTCATGTCGGTTATATAATATTAAAGTATATATTTTTAAGCATTTTTGAAAATCGAAATATAACAATTTTCACCGGCGATTATGCAAATTTCGTAGATAACAAATCCATAAAGTAAACAGTATTGTGTGCGCCCATGTGTGTATGTGTATGTATGCATGCATCTGATATTATAATAAATCGCTCAAACATTATATATTATGCAATATCGACTTTCATATATATGACATCATTTTCATTTGCATATAATATTGTAATTCTCTTTTAAAATACTGAAAAAGAAAAAGAAAAAGAAAATATATACATATTTATATGAAAAGATCTCGTTTATCGTGCATCTCTTTAATTCTGAATGAAGTTTTTGATCACTTATATAAATGAACATTATCGTTTCTTATATAAGCCAAGCAAGTCAATTAAATTATTCTGTTTTCTTGTTTACCCAGTCCAGATATCTTGGAACCCCTACATTAACACACCAGACGTGTAAAGCAGTTGTATATAAATATCGTCAGAGACCTACAGTCGGTAGTATTTCAACGATTGCCGATAGACTCGGTATACAGTATATCCATAGTGTATTTATCGTACGATTATTGATTTTTCATACCAAACAATCGAAAATTTCAAGAAGAATAAAATGAAATCATTCATCGTACTCAGTTTCATCTCCGTTCTTGCTGTAGGTAACATTTTCAATGTCCTTATTGTAATATCTTTATCTTTATCTCTCTCTCTCTCTCTCTCTCTCTCTCTTTCTCTCTCTCTCTCTCTCTTTCTTTCTTTCTAATCTGCATACTTAAATTATCCTATTCGGACTTGCCAATCGTGTGAAAATATCTTACCAACTTACACTGTTTCATATCTTTAACGATACCAAGAAACAATTCCGATGAATTTCACTTGAAATAAATGAAAGAAGCTATAAAATTTATTTTACGTTTAACTCTTTGAGTGCTATGGGCGCACATATGCGTCCAACGAAAGCTATCGATATAGAGTATAGACGTAAATACGCGCTCGGCTATCAATATTGACTATGGATGCAAATACGCGCCTGACAAAAGTAATCAGTGTATTATGGTCAAATGTATATGTTCGACAATTGTTTCTATTGCGCGAAAAAGTATTCAGTCCCCGGCGATCGTCAACGCCAACCGCGCGCCATCCGTACGGACTACATAGGCCACGAGTATTCAGCACTCAAAGGATTTAACAAAAAAAGAAAAACAAAAAAGAAGAGAAAAAGATTACGTAGTAACTTTCTTTAATATTTTTAAATTTACCTCTCAGGTTGTGACTTTGGCGGAACCCGACTATGGATTCAATAAATATCTTAATGCATTGCCGTCGAATGTACAAGAAAAATGTTTGAAGGAATCCAATCTCGAAGCTGGTAAATAAAATAATAATTTTAATATTTATTTCGAATATCATGTGAAAAATTTATATCTACTCATTTTATTGAATTTCAATTAATTCCATTTTGAATGAATTTTTATTAGAGAAGAATAAGTTGCTTACCGATGAAACATCTGTAGATCCCGAAAAAATGAGCTGCTTTATCGCTTGTAGCCTTAAGGAAAACGGTGCAGTAAGTTCATGAAATATAAATTCTCACCGATAAACACAATTTTGTATATAACTAATCGTTAAAGTATTCTTGTAAAATAAATAATTTTCTTTTCTTTTCTTTTTTAGTTGGTGAACGGAGAACTTAAATTCGATGTATTAACAGAAATAATCCAGAAATTGTTCCCCAAAAAAGAAGAAAAAGGTGCTGAGAGGTTGGAGATCACACAAAATTGCCTTTCAGAAGGTAAATTAATGAGAAAAAACACAAATAATTTCAATAATCATATGTTATCCACTCACTCATCGATCTCTGTATTTTCGAAAATTTTGTAGGAACTGGTTCGAATGATTGTGAGAAGATAGGTCGCCTTATCAAGTGCATTCAAATCAAGTTAAAAGAAAAAGGTCTTTAAAAGATAAGAACATTGAAAGATTCCATTTTAGCTTTGACATCGACAAAAACTATACTTCTTTCCAGCATGCCATGTTTTTTTCCTCATAATATGCTTGTATTAATGTTTTTATCTTTTTTATAATTCTCAATGATATACTAACCATTCCTCGCTAATTATATACAATACATTTCAATTGAAATAAAAAGTCGTCAAACCTTTTTTTTATTCCCATCTGTCGAGTCAAATACAAAGCGATATTATCTCAATAGAGAAAGAGAGGGAGAGAAAGAGAGAGATGATCGTCGAAAGTCCGATAAGAGCATATGAATAAACAAAGAGACCATAATGTCTTCTGAATTATTAAGGTACATTCAGATGATACGCGAGCTTTATCGAAACATAAGAAGGATATAGTTTAACGCGCACCTGGTATAATGCAGTATAAATGTGTAGTTGTGTGGCAAAGATACGAGATATGCCTTCGTATGCGTTCACATTAAACGACAGAGATGAGGAAGACACTATAGCGTAAGCGACTCACGTATGAGACGATGTAATGTCGCATATAGTGGAAACTTCCAACCTGCTATACAATAAAGTTACAAACTGTTGTGCGACTGTATCCTAAGCGCGTAGGAGAGAAAACTTTACTTTTGCAAATGGCCAGCTTTGCGGTATGATTATATTTTTGATCTTTCCAAATGGCTTTGTTCAAAACAGAGAAAAAGAAAGAAGAGAAAAAGAAAGAAAAAAAGAAAAAGAGAGAGAGAGAGAAAGAGAGAGGAAGTGCGCGAGAACAAAGAATAGATAGCCAAATTAATCTAATGAAACTTTCAATATATAACATATCATATATGTATATACAATAAGTAATTATTCGTACATTGATCAATTTGAAATAAGACTTCGTGAAATTGTAGTTTATTAACTAATTTTTTCATAAACAACAATATATATTATATTTCCATTAATCTCTAGAGCGGATATAATCCATAAAAAAAATTAGTTTGTATAATTTACAAAATTAATAGGAAAAAAAAAAGAAAAAAGAAAATTGGCAGAAATATGAAAGCAATAAATATTTGTAATTCATATTTCGAGCTATTTATAAGAGAGTTTATAACGTGAACAAATAATATTATTGCTTTTTATTTACGATTGATCTCGTCAGTCTGTTTCGAGACGTTATTAACATCAGCAGAAAAACTTCGTATTATAAAAATTTTGTATTATAAAAAATTATTATTGTAAAATGGGGCGGAAACTACAATAGAAGAAAGAAAAATTATTTTTAATTTACATAACCAATATAAAAGTTTATCAGAAACTTCGTGGATTATAAATAGACTTCGATCTATGATACAAAGTATAATTAATAAATACGGATTAAGAAAGAGTCTACAAAATAATTCGAGAAGTAAATATCCGCGGAAAATCAATCATTATATTGGACGAGTTGTTATTAGAATGATGAAGTAAAATCTCAAAATAAGTACTATAAAAATTGTTGAACATCTTAAATATAAGATGAATATTGATGTATTTGTTAGCACTATGCGTAACTTTATACGAATATCACAGTCCAGAGGCCCGTAAAGAATAAAAAATATTTTGTAAGTAAAGCGAATAGAAAAAAAAAAGATTGCAATTCGCAAATAATAATATTACCACACCAGTGGATTACTGGAATAGATTGATTTTTACAGACGAGAATAAATTTAATATTTTCAGTTCTGATGGACACGGTACTATTTAAAAGAAAAAAAATAAAGAACTAAATCTAGAAAACTTATGACATATAGTGAAACGCGGTGAAAGCTCTGTACTAATTTGGGGCTGTACGAGTGCTACTATTTTTGGTATATTAAAATTTATTAATGGACTAATGAATCACAGGGTTTGCTTTGACATTTTAAAATGCACTCTTATGTCTAGTGCAAAAAAAAATTGGCATAAATTGTATAATTTTATTTTTATGCAAGACAATACATACTGCATATCCAAAGCATACTGCGTATAATATGAAAATGAGCATATTACATAACATACTAGCATATATAAAAACTCCCCAATCTCTAGATTTCCAATCCAACAGAACACTTATGAGATTACTTGAAATGTAAAATTAAAAAATACAAAATTTCTTATAAAAAAATCTAAAAAAGTGTTCTCATAGAGAAATGAAATAAGATCCCATCCAGCGTTACTTCGAATTTAGTTAATTCGTTCCTTAGAAGAGTTGCTGCAATTTTAAAATCAAAAGAAAATCTTATGAAGTATTAATTACCCACTTACATTCATTTTTTATCGTCAGATTAGTTTGTTACATTTTTTTGATGAATTCTTAAAAATTCACCAATTATACGAATACTTATTGCTTTCATATTTCTACCAACTTCTGTTTTTTATTTCTAATTTTGTAAATTATACAAGCAACTAATTTTTTTTAACTATATCCACTCTAGAGATTTGTGAAAATAAGTGCCAATTCATTGTTTATAAAAATTTAGTTAACAAATTACAATTTTATGAAGTCTCTCTCACTACATGTATACATATGTGTATATGTATGTATATATATATGTATGTATGTATGTATGTATGTATGCGTATATATATATATATATATATATATATATATATATATATATAGAAAGAGAGAGAGAGAGAGAGAGAGAGAGAGAGAGCGATGTGTATATATACAGGAAGTCCAAAAAAAAATATTCAATATTTATACAGAACAGAACATATTATATTGAGTAAAAAAGTCTTGATAAATATAGGTCGTAAAATCAACCATTTCTGAGATATAAACATTTTTATATGTTAATATTATGATCGACTTACTGGTTTCTACGGTCGTGTGCGATGTTTTACTTAGTACTTATAAACCGCATTTTGAATGTACTCATTCAATTTCCAAAATTACATCGGCAATTAGTCAGTTGTTAGCAACTTAATGTCTTTGAAAAAGTTTTCTAATCGAAGAGTTCCATCTCATGCGCTGTTTCAAAATCTTCACCAATGTCTTTGTGAATCAAAATTACTTCAATCAAAGGGGGCTATACAAGTGGACATGGTAGGCCACTTGTATAGACCCCTTGATCGATTTCAATCCTCCGAATTTTTTTTTATAAGAATATTTGAAAAGCAAAGTGTATTTTTTGTCAATAAATAACTTAGAAAAATTTCGAAACGGAATCTAAAATGCTTATGAAATCATCCGACAAAGATGTCGGAAATTTTCTAGAGGTTCGCGACTCTGTGAGAAGATACCAAGCGTGTATAGAAATAGAAGAAGGATATATAAAACACCTTCTGTAAATCCAGTAATAAGTCAATTATAATAGTAACATATAAAAGTGTTTATATCTTAGAAATGGTTGTTCTTTCGACCCATGTTTATTACGATTTTTTTACTCAGTATAATTGTGTTTTATGCATTGTATAAATATAGAATGTTTTTTTTTGAATATCCTGTACATGTGTGTTCATATACGCGCGCGCATACACACACACAACAACAAATAAATAAATAAATACACACATACATATTTAACAAAATACAGGTACATATACAAAGTGTATAATAGGTTCTTTCTTTCTAATCCATATTTTCGAACATAAAACATAACATTCATAGAATAATAAAATGCGGAAAAATGGTTCTACGAAAAAGAACGATAGCATCTTTATTATCAGATATTACGTTCCACTCCAGCTCCCCCATACATACCACTACTATTACTGTCATCATTATAATTATCGTCATTATAATAGAATAATTATAACTATTATTACCATATTGGCATAATTAACATTATTATATATTATAATTCTACTGTTGCGTGTGTCTGTTATGGTTGTTGTCGTCGTTGATATTGTTATTGTATTATAATTGGTGCTATATAATTTGAATTGACTCAAGGTCCATTTCAACTCATCGACGACCACGCCCTTTTTCTCTTCAAATTTTCATTTCTATAGACTTTTGTTAAAATCCTTGAGATATAGCCTAACTACCAAGATCACAACGTCAAAATTATTGGATTACTCATTAAATAATGTCTGAATTTATAATAAAAAGTAATGAAAATTCAATAAAGTATATTATTTTTTGCTAAAAATTTCGACATTACTCACATATCGGCCAAGTCAAATATAATAAGTCAACACACACAGAAATTACAAATACTCATATTTAATTTTACAACAAAATTCATAAAAATTTCGTTACTTAAAGGAATTGATCTATCTAACCATAATATTGCGATTATTAATTCTATATTCATATCGACGTCATCTAACGACCATCAAAATAGAAAAAATCAAAAAATATGAACATAAGATGCAATTATTTGCAAGATAAGATGCGAGTATTTAAAGTATCGATTTGTAAATTTTAGACATTTAATTTCCTTACTTAAATGCTGATGGTTAAATTACATGGCACGCGAAAAGTTCTTATTTGAAAAATTTTTAAAACATTGAAAGGGCAACTTAAAATTATTTTAATAAAAATTATAATAAATTATTAAAATTGTCAATATTGAAGTTCTTCGTTAACGTAACAAAAAAAAAATAGTTCGGCAACGAATGATATTTTTTTATTTTATTCGTTAAATACACCAGAATTTTCAAAGAAGAAACAATTATATTACGTAAATATAATGTATCTATTATTCTAACATCCGAGAAACTTCCTACATATTATACATCAGATAATTACTACTTCGCACCGTTGCTTCCGCGGAAGGATATAAATTCATTGTTCAGAGATTGACAAGCGCAGTCAGTAAAAGGATTTTATCTATCAACGTTAGTTTGATTTCATTTGTAAAGAAAAAAATCTATCAAAAATTGAAGATGCAGGGACTCAAGATAATAACTTCCATCTTATTACTCGTTGTAAGTGACAAATTTTTTTAATACAATTTTACTTAAAAATTCAACGATAGAGAAATGCTTTTACCTGTATGATCCAGATTAATACGTAAGTATCAATTTTATAATTGGCATATTTCTCATCAATGGAACATTATTTTTTCAAATAAACTGTTACAAAAACAAATTCCCATTAATAAATAATCATAAATGATTTTATATCAGGTTATTTGCACAGCTGAAGATTCGGAAGAAATTATAAAGGAGCTTGAAAAAATCCAAAAGGATTGTGAGGATGAACTAGGAATA